AAAATGTACAATAATGCCTCGATTTATATATATATATATATATATATATATATATATATATATATATATATACACACACACATATATAACCAGTTACTATGGTAAAAATAATGTAAACTAGTAAATGACAAGAAAATAGAACATAATACATTGAAAATGCTTATTTGAAATATTCTTTAAAGTTATTATGATGTAAAAATTCATGTCGGGCACTGGTGGCTCATGCCTGTAAACCTAGCTACTCAGGAGGCAAGAGATCTGAGGATCACAGTTCAAAGCCAGCCCAAGCAGGAAAGTCTGTGAGACTCTTATCTCCAATTAACCATCAGAAAACTGCAAGTGGCGCTGTGGCTCAAGTGGTAAAGGACTAGCCTTGAGCTGAAGAGCTGAGGGACAGCCAAGCCCCACAACTGACCAAAAAAAATTCATGTACACAATTGCTGAAGAGATGGTGAACATTATACTATATAGGCTTTTTTTTCTTTCTTCTTTTTTCTTTTTGTTTTGTTTTTGTTTTTTGTGCTTTTTTTGGGTCCGGTCATGGGGCCTGAACTCTGGGCCTGGGCACTGTCCCTCAGCTCTTCAGCTCTACCACTTGAGCCACAGCACCACTTCCGGCTTTTTTTCTTTTTTTCTTATGTGGTGCTGGGGAATCGAACCCAGAGCCTCAGGCATGCAAGGCAAGAACTCTACCACTGAGCCACCTTCCCAGTCCTAGGCTTTTTTTCTTTACTAAAGGTGACAAAAGAATAAGTAATAAGTTGGAATATACAAACACAAAATCTCTAAAAGCAAAACACAAACAACAAACTGGGTAAAATGTATATTGCAAACACTGCAGAGAGATAATCTCCTAAGCATTATAAAAAGCTCATGAACTGAATAAAATACTGAAAGTGTTCATTTAAAGGGTTTAAACAAAATGAACAGGGAAGAGGAAACTGCAAATGGTAATAACAGCCAAAAATTGTACAGTCTTCCTAGTAACAAAAATGGCAAATTAAAGCAAGAAGATAAACCACATTTTACCTAAATTAGTAAAGATGGAAATACGATAATACTTGGCGCTGACAAAAATCAGGTAAGAACATGTTTATATACACACATATGTGTAAATAAGGACTACAGAATATGATCCCTATAGTGATTTGAATAGTAACGCCTACTTACATCTTGAATCATTTTAGCCAGGTTGCTAGTGAGTGGTTTTGTTTTTGCTCTTGTTTTTGTTTTGGGTGGGGGATGCTTGTGATTGTCTGTATTGGGATTTGAAACCAGTGCCTCTTTTTCTTGCTCAGCTTTTTCAATCTCAGTGTTAGTGCTCTATCACTTGATCCATGACTCCAGCTCTGACTTTTGCTGGTTAATTGTAGATAAAAATCTTTTAGGTTTGTCTACCTGTGCTGGCTTCCACCCTTGATCCTCAGATCTCAGTTTCCTGAATAGCTAGGGTTGAAGGAATGAAGTACCAGCCTCGTTGCTTTTTAATTATTTTTTCATCTCATTTTTGTTTTTATTTTTTATATACCATTCACCAATTTTTAAGTCATCCTTATACAGAGACCATGCTAACCTCTATATTGGCCCAATTTCAGAATATGTGCTTCCAAAGCAAGCACAGTAATTGGTTGCCTTATTTAAATTTTAGGATTTTCCCCCTCCATTTCTCAGCAGCACTTGGGGAATGGGGGACCATATCCCTTGGGATCTAGCCTCTCAATGACATTTTTCACTTAAGTTTTATAATCCTATAAAAGCTGTTCAAAATTTTACCTATGTTCTAATTAATCACCTAATTTGACAGCTGTCAAGAATAAGCTTTGATATCTGACTAAAAGTAATATAGTACTTATAGAGGAGATTAATTCTCTATAGGCTAATAATCTCTTCTACAAGAGACAAGCCAGTCTTCAAATAGTATTGGAAAAGTCAAAGTAGCTTCCTCTAATGATCTAGGGCATAGCACAGAACTGGATAGAATAAAGTACTGTAACATAAAACTGAGAATTACAGGATAACCTCTACCAGTAACAAATCAAAGGCAGCTTTGGAAGAGTAACCTTCCTGTTATACCATTTCTCTTCCAAAAACATCAGTTCTTAATCAACATTCTATTTAACTGCTACAGTTACCATGATATATAGTACAATAATAAAAAATAGCAATGAAAATCAGAATTTAGTATTCCATTATTTAGATAGAATTGGAAGAGTAATTAATAAGAAAATAAGACTAGCCAGGCACCGGGGGTTCATGGCTGTAATCCTAGCTACCCAGGAGGCTGAGATCTGAGGATTGCAGTTCAAAACACCCAGGCAGGCCGGGCGCTGGTGGCTCACACCTGTAATCCTAGCCACTCAGGAGGCTGAGATCTGAGGATCGCTGTTCAAAGCCAGCCTGGGCAGGAGAGACCGTGAGACTCCTATCTCCAATAAACCACCAGAAAACCGGAAGTGGCGCTGTAGCTCAAGTGGTAGAGCGCTCACCTTGAGCT